AAATATACTTACTCCATAAGCTAAAACAAACTCCCTTGCAGTTGCAAGGGAAGAAGAAAGCACAAGCAGTATCCTGTGTGAAGTATGCTGAAAAGGCTTGCCAAGCACTGCCTTTTTTTTTTCCTGCTTCTTCAGTAAAAGCTTTTTCTTAGAACATGCAGAAGGCTATGCCTGGAAAATTGTGGAGCCTTTAAAAAGTCATTCCTCTGTGTTTCCCCACATATCCCCATCCACCCCCTTTTGAGTTTGTATTAACCAACAGCAGGGAAGTGTGTCATGCAGTTTAGAAGCTACTGTATTTAGAAGAGAAACCAGTACAGAATGCCACATGAGATCTATTTTAGAATATTGAACCTGCAAACATATGTGTTTTGTAAAATAATTAGGAAAAAGTAGTACAAATTTACATTATAATTTATCCTAACCAAGACCAATGTGTATTCTAAAAGTTGTTTACTTTAGACATACTTTGGTGGTTCCATTAGAGATGAGAGTATAGCTTGTGTCATCAGTTTTTCCAATTGTGTGTGGATGGGGCAGTATAGCTACTATGGAAAGAAAAAACAGGTTGTCTCTTTGATTCCTGAAGAGCAAGAAACAAAATTCCTCTATTTTAAAATAAGAGGCATAATATGCCTTTTGGCTCCCAGAAAAATGATGTTAAGAGTGTGGTCAGCTGTTTGGCATTAGAAGTACAATTTTCTGAACATCCACTTTCTCTTTTGGAAACCACAGCTCAGTGATGACTGTGAAGATTAGCATGTGGGGCTCCCCCTCCCCATTTTTTGCCTTCGGTTATTTTGTCCTGGCTTATGGAAAAAAGTGTGGACAGAAACCAGTGCTTGTGTGGCAAGGAGTCTTGCCCATGGGCACAGATTTAAAGGCAAAGATGGAACTGTTCAGTAGAGTGCTTCTTGCTTAATTGGTGTGCATGTGGTGCAGAAACCAGAAAATGTTACTTTTTAATTTTATTTCATTTGGGGGGGGCTGGCAACTCTGTCGCTTCTCTCTGACAGTTTAGGGTGTTCCCTGCCCCCTTCTTCTACTCTCCAGAAAGTAATTCTTGCTTTTAATTCCAGGAAAGTTGGAGTTATATTGCAAAGTCCAAGTTCAACTGTGGTTTTAAATAGTACTGACAATTGTAAAAGTTTCCTTAATTATAGAGATCTGAGTAGCTTCTACTTTCTATTTGCAGTAGCAGTGTGTTGGCCCAGATTTCCTCAGTCTTTCAAAGCCTAGCCTCACATATTTATTTATCTTGTCACCTCTTTCTTCTTGTATATTTTGTGGAGAGGAGGTAGCAGGAAGAGATTATATTGCTAATCATATTTCAGTTTTTTCTTGGTAGCTCTTCAGAAAAAGATTTCCACTTTGTGCGTAGTAAAAAATATCATCTTAGCACCTCTCAGATGTAGCTATCTAATTCAATGAGAGTGTCTTCTGAATCAGAGAAATAATAATAGAGGTAGTCTGAACTCAGTTTTCTAGACCTGTGAGTTGATTGGGTGGACAGTATCATACCTGTAAGAAGGATGTATACATTATAGGTAATGCCTTTTGAAGATGGAAGGGTGATTACTGTTGTGCTTGATTCAGCTCAGGAGAGGAGTATTGTGATGATTGATACTTAGAGTTGAGCCTTAAATATGAAAATGTGTTTCCTTATTCTTCTTTAGAGCAAGAAGTGCTGGTGTTTTGAGTGGGATGAATTATCTGCCTTTTATAGGTCTTTGTGACAATGTGTTCCATTTGCTATTAAACAGCTTCACACTTGTAATTACTTTTAAAAATAGTTTTGATGTGGTGCTTATATTCTTGTCCAAGGGCAAAAAGTACCTCTGCTTCTAAAATATATTCTGGTCCCAAACAACTCCTCATGAGGCACATTGCTTTTTTAGCATCTATACAGGCTTGTGATACAACTTTGAAAAAATCAGATGTATAAATATTTTTTCCCCTCAAAATTTGGATAATTTGTTACATTTGTGAGTTAAACTGCAGTAAAAATAGGTTTTTCATGTTCACTTATTATTTTGGATAGAGTGGCATTATTGTAGGATGATGAAAAATGCTTTTGATTTTGAGATGGGAAGAAAAGTTTGCTGATCAAATAGAGAATCACCATGTCTTCTTCTTTCTAAAACATTTGTGGGGGATTTCTTTCTCATTTTCTGAGACTGAGGACACTTCCCTAAACTTGCTAATGGGATTAAATCAGATTAATATGGAGAACAATGTTTGATGATAAAGTTGATTGCTTATACTCAGCTTTGATTGGAGCAAGCTTAGTGGTCATTTGGCATATACCGAGCACAAATTAAGTTTATAATGTTTCATCTTGGCTTCTTCTTAAGTTCAATTTGGTACAATGCAGCCCTTGTGCTATTGTAGAGTCTTTGAACTGAATATCTCCTCCTGTATTTATCAACTATGTAAGCACTTGAATTTTTTAGGATTTTAGCCAAACAATTTTTAAAAGTCAAGAAAATTGGCATATTTAACACTGTTCATTTGTTACTGTGTTATGCTTGCATAACAACTTTAATTTTCACCACTTCCTTCACTAAATTACAGCAGTCCTCAGTTTATCCTAGTTGTTCTGCTGTTGGCCCCCAAAGAGAGTTTACATCTGCTACCAAAGCCTTTTGTGTGCATTAGAAATGCCATATTCAGTCAGTAACCCAAAACTGATTTTTTTATTCTTTTTTTTTTTCAGAGTTGTGGAGGGTCTTACTTTTCCTGTTCTCCCCTGCTCAAAATGAAAAACAGGAGAACAGAGGACTAAAGATACTAGATTTAATTTGGTGCATCCTTTCTTAACTACCACTAGAATTTCTGGGCATGGTAGCAAGAGCTGAAAGTGCTTTACTCCACTACTAATTCTTTTGTTATCTTTTGGTGATGCTCTTGTAAAAAATGCTAATGTTTTATTTATGATATGTTAATGCAGAAAGTCAATAAGATAAAAGAGAAACTTAAATACAGAAGCAGAAATTTCTGAGGTGATAAACCATGGAATGAAATTAAAATGGTAAGAAACATATGCAGAAATCTGTGCTCCTTTATAAGCAGCAACTTTATTCTGAAATGCTGCAGGCCTTTCAAGCAGTAGAGGTCTAGTCAAAAGAATGTGAAAGATGAGCGTAAATAGATGCAAGAGTGTAGATCCAAGTAACTACTAAAGTACAGGTCTTCCACTTTGCATTATTAATCCTTAGTAAGCACCTGGTTGTGTTAAATCTTTCTGTCATAATTACTGATTACTCTTTAACTGCAAGGCAAATAGTCCAGAAGATTTCCTCTAAGTAATATTCATTATGAAAATTAAGATTTAAATTCATAGTTCCAACTGCAGAACTGAAAACTCAGGCTTCACATTGTCTCCTTACATGAGTTTTTACCATACTTCATTGTCAGCTTAAATCTGTACATTATGAGGCTAAGTACTGTGTTCTGCACAACTGAAATCCTTGAATAATAAAGTCAGTTATTACCATTCTGAAGGTTGTAACTGTGGATAACCCATGTGCCATGAATAGTTGGTTCAGGAACTGTAGAATAGTATTCCCCTTGACTGTCCTGGTGATTACTTGATTCAGTTTGTATGGCTGATTCTGCACTGCTCAGTTGGAATATATTTGTGCTGTTGACTTTGAGGAAGTCTGTAGGTTCAAATTTGTGTCGAGAAATTCTTGAATTAATGATACGCTGCTCAGAATGCAAATTTGAAGTTGATGATTCTCTATACTGATTTTTTCCTTGAATGTGTATACAAGTATCAGTGAAAAAAAGCACAGCACAAAGTATCCTTTATTCTCCCTCCCCCACTTAAAAATGTCTAGTTTACGGTAACTAAACCAAAGTCCACAGTTACCATTAGAAATATAATAGCTGTTAATCTTTTGGACCTCTTGTTCTCCTCTTTCCCCAGTTGTCGTTGAGTATTTGTCCAAAAAATACTTTTTTGCAGCTGGAAGGCTTCTATGTGATCTTCCTGTTAGCTATGTAGTGGGTTACAGATACACAAAATAAAAGGCTGTCAGCAAAGTGAAAAGTAGGGGGGAGGTGGAGGGATTTTTGAAATCACTTTCTTTTAATATTATTCCAGCTATAGTCTCTCAGTCGATTCCTTTAAAATTTGACCTGTAATAATTTTTATTATTTTTTAATAGGTAGACATGCTGATATAAAAATACATAGTTTATTATGCATATACCTATGCAGCATCTATAACACTAATTTCTGCTTGGAATGTAATTTGAGGATAAAAATATTTGTACATACTTTGGTTCTTCCCATTATGCTAAGAATATGTGTCCGGATTGAAATTCCAATGACTAGCATCACTATTGACTGCTGTGAATAGTGCTTGGGAAAGTGATCATAAATACTGGCATTAGCACCAGGGTAGACTGACCATATGTACCTGCCTTGTAGAGCAAGGAACAGGGTTTGGTTGTCAGCTTAGGTTCCTATTATGCAAGGAGGTTATTTTTTGTAAGTTGAGAACTGTATTTTGCTGCCTTGCGTCTGACTAAAGTTTCCATTTCCTTTGATGGTTTGTTAGAATATTTTTAACAGAGAAATTATTTGAGCACTTTTTTGACTGTTCAGTGGGCTTAAAAACAGTGTTGTAATGAATCGCATAATAGTTTTCAAGCTTGAACTTTGGCTTTTTGCTGAAATCCATAAACACTTAGATGAGTGTTTTATTATTTGAATTGTGGTGTGCTTTTTGTATAACTGGGAAAAGACTCTAACCAGCTTTACTTCAAGCATTTGAGACGAAGTGTGCTGAATTGATGGGAAATGACTATTGCTGTATTGGGAAAAGTACTGCAGAACAATGCTCAATTATTTTGTGATAACTTCTGTGTACTAGCAAATAGGACCCAGAAGCATGTCACATGGTCATCTATAAGTAAAAATAACTAGTGCTGTGTGGAGTAAATGTAGATGCTGTTTTTGTGGCACCAGTAACACTTTTTTTTTTTCTTTAGGTTCTTGATTGTTACAGACCATTTGCTGAAATGTCCAGAGTTGGTAAAAGCCCTCTATGCCAAACTGAGCAATCAAGAAAGGTAACCCCAAAAACCAATGTGGCTTTTAGTATTTAGCATTCCATATAGAGTATCCTGTTCACATGATTGAAAAACTGTGTGGTTTCATACTTGGCACAAAATCTCTAAATACATGTTTCTATGTCAGTAATGGTTTTAAATTGGTTGGTTAACATTACAGCTTAGCCACAACTGGCAGTGATTTATGTAGGGTTGCAGAATCCAGGTTGGCGCCATTACTTGGTAAAGAAATACTTAAAAAAAAAATAAAAATACAAGATTTTATGCCTGTGTCTTGATTTCCTAAGAGCACCACACCCTGCAGTGTTTACAGATGTATTTCAAATGTGCTCAGCTGTTCATAACTCCTGTTGTAATTACAAGAAATTAAAATGAAGCCTTTAATAAAGTTGGAAGTGTATCTAATAATGGTTAGCAGAATCTAAAAAACATAGATGTGCAGATGCCCGTGATTGCTTAATCTTTTAGTATTTTCACTATTGAAAATCTAAAATGCTTCAACAAACCTTCACCTTGAAAGAAACTAGCTAGTTTTCCTTCAGGCATTTGAGTAAATGTATGTTTAATTGGGAAAATTCTCATTTACAGTTCATTTAACTAAAAATCTGGGAAGATAAAAAATTATTTTGTAAGAATAGTTAACTCTGTGAAAGTCTGTACTATAATTCTACGGCTCCTCCATCTGTTTAAAGATCTTGTGATCTAATTTATGTGTGCAGCATGGCTACTTTGTTTCCCATTTGCCCAGTGAAACTGCAAGTTCCCCCTGTGTTCTTTGCAGGTGGAAGACAAAGCATTAAACAAAGAAGTCCCTTAATGTTTTTTTTCCCTGTGTTTTTTGCTGTTGTTAAAGCCTCAGTGTTACTACAAATGGGGGTACAGATATTGATTGGAGATTATAAAGAAACAGAAGGAATGACAGGCAAACAACAAAGTATTTGATAGGTTGAGGACCATTGATGAAATATCAATGGGATAGAAAATGGGATGGGAATGATAAGGAGGGAGATACTGTCTTCTTCCTGTATTCAGGCTGAGTAAATGGGAACGAACATGGGCTGTGCACTTGCTGAACCTGAAGGTAGGGGCTCCTTAACCAGTTAGCAGGAAAGACTGTTTTAAGTGAATGAGATAGATTTAATTATTTTGGGGGAATGCCATGAATGGCAGTTTTTTTCTTTGTAATCATAATCCCTTTGAGGGCAGCCAGGACTGGGTTAGGTTGTTCAATTGTAAAGCACTAGATGTAATCAGTTTCTGGAAAGGTCTCAGCTGATTTGTTGCATGCACTGTGGTACAGATGGTGATCAGCTACCTCGACTGAAAGGCTTTTTGTGTTGGCATCATATGGATGATCACATGCTGGATGCGTATTCACTGAATTTATTATCTGTCCCAATAAATTCTGCAAAGCAAGTAAACTCAAGTTTTTCAAAAACATAATCAAAGTATAGTTTGATTTACTGTCAAACATGGAAGCAAGTGGTGTAGAAATAGTCCTTCTGCATCTGAGCTATAGAAGAAAACCCTGCCATGGCATCTCCCTATATAGTGTTAGCATATTTAAGAATTAATTATTTTGAGATACATGAGGAGACAAATACAGTTCAGAAAAAAACATTTTGACTGTTAATAACTGGAGAAAAAAATAACTGGCTTAACCAAAGCATAGGGAATTAATTGTTTCAAAACGAGACAAGGAGCCTTCACCGCAAGAGTTGCCACACTGGGTGTCCAGTAAGGCTGACTAAGTCATGTAAATGAAGCAAGGACAGATGTGGTATTGAAGTGTCTGAGGAAAGCAACTTTTAGCTCATGAATATATGGTAACTCTCAGTTACAGTATTCTCTATCATGCACGTTAAATACGCTTACTTTGACTGTATTTACCGAAAAGAAATTAACTGTGCTGAGAAAGGTGGTGAATACATATGTTAGTGGTGACTGTTAAAGTTGGCAGTTGCCTTAGATAACCCAAGTGTATGCAGTTGCATAACCGCAGTTATTTGCACTATTCACAGTATTTTCACTATTCAAAGTATTTCCTGTAATTGAAATCTAGTGCATTTGTGATGCTACCACTGTAGCCATGGTGTGTTCCATGAAGAAGTTCTTGTGGTAGAAGTGGATCCTGAATCTGAATTGTCAAGTAAAAGACAAATTCTTGACTTCTGGACAACTTTAATTTCCAAACAAATTTAAGCACTATGATGTTGCATGTCTGAGCTTGTAAATGGCCTGAAATAAATACTGTGATATTATGATAAATTTTTAATTTTTTTTTAATGGTATTCTGGCTTTGAAAAGTTTATGACAATGTGTCAATGCCTTCTTCCTTCTCTGTCAGTGATTATTGTAGAAACAATGATACAGTATAGAGCTAGAACATTGGAGATTGGAGATTTTCCTGCCCACGTGTGTAGGTATTTGGAATAAGTATTTAAAAAAAGCCTGCTTTGATTTCTTCCAAGTCGGCTTTGAGCATGGATAATGTAAGTTAATGCCTTGATAGTCTTAATTACATTGTAAAATCTTCAAAAGAAGTGCATCGGCATTGTCCCTTTTAAGAAGGGGTCTTGCTTTAATTAACAACAAAAATGCAGCTGAAAGCTTCAGGTGTTTTTAAGATGCTCAGCCACTTCCATCCTTAGTTTTGATTTTTGTATTATTTCATGTGAGGTACTCAGAGTTAATGGTGTAGCCTTTGGTCAGATTACCAGGAGGTAAATGGACACTCAGGTAGTATAATCAGCACCGCTTCTTGTTTATGTTCAGCTTCAGGGCTGCTCATCTCAGTGTTGTGGTGGGTTTTTGTTCTTGGTAATGCTCACAAAAACAGAATAGCTGAAGATAGTGTTGAATTACAATCCTTCACCAATTTACCAGTATTCATTTAATAGGATGCTTGCAAGTATTGCTCGAAGGTGGAAGAATGGCAAAATTTAGAGGAATGGCCTAATTTGTCTCATAGAACCATTGCTGTCAGTGAAGCATTTCAGGAAAGAGAAGTCCAAGTCACAGAGTGTGTCCGAAGTGCTTGGCGCTTGCTAAGAGATTATAAACCAAGCACACTTGATACAAAACCTATTTGGTGATAATAAAATTGATATTTTTAGACAGGCTTAGCAGTACTTTGCTTTAATTTGCAAAAGTGAACTTCTGGATTTGAATTGCACTTTAATGCTTTTGTTTATTTACAGACTGTAAGAGAGAGCAATGTGCTTTACTTATGGTTTTAGATACTTACAGTAGTTGTCAGTTCTTGCTGATTTGGTCAGCTTCAGGAAGAACTGGTTTAAATTTGACTAGGGGAAAAAAACCAAAAAAGATTGACAAAAAGTCTTCCTAAGTGGTGCCTAAAATAAAAGTAGATTACATTAGTGGCATGATAATTTCAAAATAGAAATATAATCATAAACAAAGTCTACGATGTTATATTTTAGATATTGAACTGAGTGTTACAAAAATTTGTGATGCTAAAACTGTTACTAACAGTTGTCATATCTGTTGTATTTAGGTATAGGCAAACAAGTAGGAACAAAGTGTCATCTGAACAGCTAAACGGTTGTGAGATTGTCTAAACGAAATTAACAAATTGTATTGTGTGTGAGAACTAACTTGGAAAAAATTGGGTTAGTCTTGGAAGAAAACTGAGAGAAACAATAGAAGAAAGGAATGTAAGGGGACTTGCACCAGAACAAAAAGCATTGCTCTCAGGAAATTGTTGGCTGAATGCAAGACTCGCTTGAAATTCAGGGGAAAGATGGGCATGTCCTGAATGACTGTGCCCAGAAGAAAACTCAGGAAAACAGTTTTGATGTGAATGCTTGAGAGCAGAAAACTTTAAAATAAATTACATACAGGTGGTGTTTAATGTCGCTCACATTGGTTGATTATGGATGTCTAAGAGGACACCTGATTATATTGCAAGATGAAGAATAATGCAAAAAATCACCCTATTGGCAAGTAATGTGGTTTATGGAAGTATCTGGTGACCCTCCAACTTCTTTACAGAAGGATTGCTTGTCATTGTTAAAACACGTATTATTTGGGTTATTGATGTGACAACAGCTGACTGGAATTCTGTTATGCAGGAGATATTATTCTATTGGAATAATTCCTATAATCATAAAGTCTGTGAGCAGCCTGCTTTTTTAGCTGAGCATACACTTGAAAAGCTCCAAACTTGGTAAAACCTGCCATGGAAAATCTAGTCCTGTCTTGGGGATGAATGACAGTTTGGTGCACTTGACTTTTGTATAGGACACCAAACCTTGAAAGCCTTCGTTCAGTTAGGGATGTTGGGAAACTGGACTCTGGTCGTTTGTAGATGGGCAAGCATGTGGTACCCAGCTGTAGCATGCAGAACAAGCTGTTCTCTGTCAGCGCTGCATCACATATGTAAGTGAAGCCTGTGAAAGAGGTTACCAGTGTTTGACAGTCTTCTGTTTGGAATCCACCCTTTCCCAAATGTGCTGAGCACATTTCTGTGCTACCGTGTTGAAAAAGCTTTTTGTCATTCAGATAATTGTTTAGTGCAGCTGTATTAATGACATTGAGGGTTGAGATTAGCAAGAGCTGACTAGCTGTTACGTGATTAATAGGGGTGGGTTCTTGGAGGTTAATAAAGCAGTGACCGTGCTTTTTCCACAGAAAAAGACATTTCTCTTCCCCTTGTGACAACATGCTTGGTAAATTAAAAAAAAAAAAAAAAAAAGCATTTGAACTATTCCATGTGTTTAAATGTCAGTCCTTCCATCTGAATTGCAAATATTTTGGTGAAAGAAAACCCTGAGCCTGCTCTTGAATTCATTCAATAAATAGCACTCTTTCAGGTTGAGAGAATTACAGTGGGACTTCACTAACCCCTTTGCTCCTCTGCACTGGAGTTGAACAGTTGTAGGAGGCCTCAGCCATGTTAAGGTCCTGCTTCCAAAAAATACTCCCAGTTTTCCTTAACTACGTTAAGGGATATCAGAAATAAAACAGCATTGAAGATGTTAAAATAAATGTCCTAAGGATATTTTATAGGGCAGCTTTGTTATATCCACTTACTTGCTGGTTTAATACACTGAATAACTCTTACTGGGTATATGACTAATGAACTTGGATTTGCTGTAGTCAATCTAGTGGCAATTACAAAACAGCTGCAATGAACTGATTGTGCATATCCATTTTTACTTCTCCTTTTCCTGCTTAGAACTGGTTTGGAGGACTGCATACAAAGCAAGGGCTGTGAAAAGCTGGTATTTTCAAATGGAAGCTTCAAGTAGTGCGTGTTTATTTTGCTGAACTTAACAACAGCTTTTAAGAGCTGTTTTGGTGAAAATCTTAGACATACAGAATATGCACTCAGTAATGTTGTGTTAGGACATAAGAAATTAGAAGTTGAAATAGACTTGAGAGAATATTGTCTTCACTGTGTGGCCAGATTGTATTAATTGAAGAATTAAATTAACAGTGTGCAGAGACAAGCCAGCAAATAGAAACTGATTGCCAGTGTTCATAAGACTTACTAATTATTAAAAATCAGCTCTGTTACTAGCTTGCTACTTGTTTATATTGTTTTTAACAGCTATCTGTTTATTCTACTTATACTTCTATATGGCTTAGTGAATTTGATTAACAAGTTGTTTTCTGATTCTAGGGTTACTTTGTTAGAACTGATAATGGTGAATGTACGTGAGAAGAACCCAGTTACCAGTGAAGAAGTTAATGTGTTGATGAGACATGCTGACTTCCTTGCAGGCTGTTTCCAAGAGAAATGTGAAGCTGTGCTCAAGTTAACTTGTGCAGCGGATGCTGAAGATGAGGTATGATGCATCAAAAAACATTATAGTACTAGTATCTGAAGTGGTGAATCTTCATTGCCACAACTACCCAAGTGTACTTTGTGTACATTCCAAGATTGCTTTGTATTGGGAAGGCAGTGGCAGAGTTCTCAGGAGAATCTGTGAAACAGCAGCCCAATTTTGCTTTCAATTTCAGTATGATGAATAATACAGTGCTTTGAGATAGAAGTAAATCTACCACATTAGTAAAGATTTCAAAATCTTAAAAAGGTTCAAATTGTCACGTCTAGATGTTTTATTCAGTTCTTCGTAAGGGTCACATCTTTAATACATTTGGGCTGTGAATAATATTTTATTGAAATATGAATAAAAATATTTATCAATGGGAAGCAGCATCTCTTTTTTTCTAAAAATGTGGGTTAAAAATTAATTAAATGCTTTTTTTTCTAGCAGTGCTGAAGGAAGTAAATCTTGAGTTTTTATGGGTTTTTTTAAACTTAAATAAGTTATGATAATGTGATAATTAATACATCATTAAAGTTCAAAATAATAGTTCTTTGAAAATACATTTGGCTAATTGTAAGGCAGGTGTTCCTGATCTGTTTGGGACCTGGGACATCAACTTCTGATCATGGAGAGCTGTGGTTTGTATGTGATTGGCTCGGAGCAGGGGAATTGCCTGAAAAGTATAGCAATCCTCCCTGTCTGTTCCCCATCTCTTAGTTAATTGGGGCTCACTGGTGGACCTTGCGTGGCTCTGATAAGGTGGGACTCCTGGGGCCAGCTAGTGTCCACAGCATCAAGCTCCAGACCTCTCTGGGCTCTTAGTGGCAGATGGCTTCTGGTTCCTGAGCACTCAAACCCTTGCCGCAACTCTGCCCATTTGGAAGGAATCTGTTATTGCTTCAGACTTAATGAACTGGTTCTGTTGAGGATGTCCACAGTGAAGTCCCCTTGCAAGCTAAATAGGAAGGCTTTTATGGGTCAAATATGGTTCATGGGTTGTACTTCAGGAACCTCTAATGCATAGTTCAGTCCTGGATGGCCTTATTTTATTTTCTCCCTATGATGTATCCAAGAGTTGCTAGCTGCTTGCCCAACCATATAGTGCGGTAAGGATCTTTAGGCAATCTAAGGGTAGAGGTCTGGTGTTGTATTTTTACTCTTACTTTAAACAAGCTACTTGAAGATCTAACTTACATGATAACTTGCAGTGACCTTATTTGTGCTGTGTTAGGGTGTCATATTGTGAGCGGGCTCTGCCAGATGATATACTGGTCTCAGTTCTTGATCCCTCTCCTATTGATGAAGTTTTAACATTTTCATCTGATTTTGGGAGTGAGGGCTTTTTTTGTTGGTTTTTTTTAAGACAACTAGCCAGAAAACTAAAAGCCTGAGAAATCTGATATATTTTACTCAAATATAAAATTGATCACTGATTCTTACTGATTGAGCATGCTTAGTTTCAGAAGTGTAATTAGCATGTTTTCTTAATATCTCAATAGGATTTAAGAAACAAAAGTCTAGCTTTTCTCTTGTTAAGTGACCACAGTGATATATTGAAATTGTGTTACCTAATATATCTGTAGTCAGAAGCATTTTATTGTTTAAAAATATATAATCTGTAATAAGTTACATTTGCAGGATCTCTTGAGTGGCTGTCATAGTAATTTTGTATCAAAGTGAAAAAAAAAAAAGATCTTTTCATGCTTTTATCTGATGATGCTAAACAGTGTTTTGCTTGCTGATTGATTTATTTATTGGTTGGTTGGTTAAATAGGCACAAGAATTTTAAATGTCTGTTTTGAGGTGTTAGGAAAAGATATAAAAAGTTGCTTTATAAACAGATGATAATTGAATGCATAAAAAACCCCAACAACCACGAGACATTCCCTTTTTATCAGTCCAAGAAGCAGAGCTTTCCCTCCTTCCCCAACTGCTCAGTCTTATAAGCTCTGTTAGAAAATGTAATTGACTCTTTCTGCAAAGGGTTTCAGCTTGGCAGTAAGAGGACATACACTGAGACGTTTCCGTCTTCTGCTGCCCTGCACTCTTCTCTCTCATTTACTCTCTACCCCACTCCTCTCTCTCTCTCTCTTTTTTTTTTTTTTTTTTAAATCCTGTGTGGCTGCTTTCCAAGTATTCTGTGGTTTCAGTTATTAAAAAAAACCCATTTGTTTGTGCCTAGCAGGAAGTCTCTGTCCAACTTGAAGATGCTGGGATAACAGTATTAATATTTTCTAACCTGCCCTGCTTGATCCTGATATTTTATCTTTCTTTTGCATAAACATGTACTATGATAAGTTGAATATCACTATTTGGTGGGAAGTAGAAGTCATAATAGGTGAATAAATGGAGACAAGAATAAAGAAAGAATAGCTTTTAAAAAATGTGTGCATATGCATATTGTGTGTATACCTTTATTCATAACATATGCTTGCCATGGGAAAAAATAAGAGAAACTGTTTTCTTAGTAGAAATGATAAAAAAAATTGCACCAATTTCTTCATGATTACATAAATATTTTAGGTTTTGCATAAGATTTTTACTTAGCTGGAGAAAATACAGTTGTGTATGTAGAATATGTCATTAAAAATGCTTTAGGCAACATCCATGACATTAAATAAACTCTGCGTGGACTTTTCTGTGGCCCCGAAGCCAGGTATGTTTGTCAGGCTATGTCTATACTAATACACTGTCTTAGCCTCCAAAACTAGGAGGCTACATTTGATAACTGCCTTTTGGGAGCAGTCCTTGAACTGGCCTGACTCCCTAAAGTGTTGTCTGGGTGTCCAATCCACTGTTCATTTTAGTAGACACTGTCTTTTTTCCCTAAGGAAGTTCTGGTAGCTTCCATCTCAAGCCAATGAAAAGCTAATCATACACTTCTACAGTGCTTAAACCAATGTTTAAAATATCTTTTCCATTATAAGACTGACTTCAACATCAGTTTTCTTTTATAAGCTTTCAACTGTACTGGCAAAATAAAACCCTTCCCTAGATTTTAAGTTCTTGTTCATCTCTTTATAAAGAACATATTTTCTAGGGTCTCTTGAAATATGTTTATTTTAAAAATCTTCAATTATTTCCTTATTTACTTTTCAGATTATTTCCAGATCAAGATGGCTGTCAGATTTCAAAATATTTTGGGGTTTGTTGCTGAACTTAAAAGGAAGTATTCTGCTTTATTGCTTTTGTAGAGGTGGAGGGTGAAAAAAAATAAATTAGAAGGTTGGGGAGGGGTAACCCCAACTAAAGATGTTTAAGCAGTTTTTTGAAAGTAGTTGAGAATTTGGGGGTTCCTTTGTGCTTTTTAAATAATCTGTTTCTATTCTCAAATCTGGATGGAACAGTTGCTGAACTGAGCCAGATGGTGGATTAGAGAAAGTGTGAGATAGTAGTATAAAACCCTGGGAAGAAATGCATAGAGGAGAGTGAAAAGACAAGGCTTTGAGAGGAAAAGCCTTTGAGAGGAAAATACCTCATATTATCAGCTGTTACAGAGGTTGTATTATATACGTGAGCAGTCGGGTACATATAGGCAGCAAGAGCCAGCATATCTTACTGATGTGATTTTTAGTTGTTCATTGATGTTTGTGTTGCTTTACAGTTGTAAAGCATGTAACCTTTTCTTGTGCGAAGGGAAGTGTGTACTGTATGAGTGGAAAAGGCTTTTAGTTAAGCTACTGTCTTGTAACAAAATGGCTTAAAAACTGTAAATACCTGCTTACTGCCTCTGAAATACAAGTGAGGTATTCCTACTTTATAAAAGGACAACGAGTGATGTATTCAGAGGCTGTTTCTGTGCTGTTGAAAGCAATTTATTCAAGAACAGGGCAAGACCTAAACATTCCTACATCTGTGTAAGGAAAAAAACTAGAGATTTAACACCTGGACCCTATACTGATTTGTCATCTTCAAGGAGCATAGGAAGGAGCAAAGAATGGATATAATAATTATTATTGAATGCTGTTGTTGATTTATTTCAATTATGTTAGATTTATTATATGGATTTAAAAAAATGTTATATTGTTGGTAAGTAAATGTCTCTTTCTCCTGGACCAGACAAGGCAGGAATAGTAACTGTGACCTCCATCTGAGCCTCTTCAAGGCTACTTGCAGTTTATGTACCACACCTTGTGTGGAATCATCTTGCAGTCACAGTCTAGTTCTTGAGGAATATGTGGTGTTCCAAATTATGCCGTACACTCTTAAGGTAGTTTCTGTAAGTGCTGGATTGTCATTATAAGCATACATCAACATAGTCTGTGAGAAAAAAATAGTTCTCTGGCTGAATAAATAATATGCAAATAAAATTATGTCTCATACCTAACCAAAATGGTGCATCTATGATCCCAGTCCTATTTACCCAAGAATAATGTAAATTCTCGCAGCCAAAGTTCATTTGACCACAGAACTTTACAGAATTCCTGCGGATAACAAATTGGTGTCTTGCAGGCGGTGTTTGTGTCTTTAAAGTGGGACGATCCTACTGAATAAACTCAAAGAAAACATTTATACAGAAATAATTTTCTCAGCTAGTAATTTTCTGCATTTCTGCTTTTGGAAGCTACTGTGTTTTTGTTAAAATTTTATCCCTTATGTCTCTGTTTTTGTTTCCCTGTGATTTTTCAGGGCACATATAACCCTGTTTGACTGTAGAAAAGAAATTACTGCAGGGTAATACTTTATTATTGCTGTAGGAAGATGTCCTCATTTTATATAACTTTGTTCTTGGCAGTTTCGAAGACTTGCAAAGAAGGTGCTGAGAGTTCCTGTCCTCTGTGTAAATCATGGGTTTTATGTTCTTATGGTATCCTTCATATGCCATTTTCAGAAATGTAATTTTCATTTACAGGAAGCACTGGTTACAATTCGTCTTCTTGACGTTCTTTGTGAAATGACATCAAACAATGGACAGCTAGAACATCTACAGTCTTTGCCTGGTTTGCTTAAAGCGGCCATAGGTGAGTAAAAAGCCATGAGGTTTATTAACTGTTGACTTGCTCCACATCATGTTGCTCTGTGAATGAAAACATGTTTTTCACAACTGGTGGTAATTAATATTCTGACCTTTTAATAAAATAAATAGGAGATTGAGTTAATCTACATTTTCAAATATTTTATTTGTTCCTGGAATTTTTCAGCTTCTCTGCTTCCTCTGTTGACTGCTGTAACCCAACAGAGCCTTGATTCAACTGTCAGCAATGTGCTATTTATACAGTAAGAGTTGTGCAAAGGACAGCTGCTTTCTGTGTTCTTCCACTGGCTGAATGTGTGTGGAAGAATTTCCTCAATAAGTAGAAAGTAGACTTTTCCATGCCTGTTCCCTACTGCTTCCCAAATTCCTGAAAACTGAAGTGCAGTTTGAATGTTCTTTAAGAAATTCAGTGACTTAAAGGTCAGTTTGAAAGATGCTTTTTTTCTGCTAGGAAACAACAAGCAAAGGGCTGTACACAAAGAAAATTAGGCCAGAGTGGTCCAGACAGACCACTGTCTCCCCCAGGGCCTAGGGGAGAAACTAGGAAGCATATATATACTGACTGACCTGTGCCTTCCTAAATCTTAGGACTTTCTGAGACTGATGCATCTCTGTTTTCTGAAAAAACTGTAGAAGTTTATGGATTTTAAAGAAAAATATTTCGTATTTTGGCTAGGAAGAAAAAAGCTGAAACAGCTGTTAACTATGACTACTTTGAAATGTTCAGAAGATCCTTACTGTAAAAAAATCTAAACAAACCAAACAAAAAAACCCCATCCAGACCTCTAGTTTTGATGACAGATTCATGGTTTTATTGATTACAGTAAGATAACTAACAAAAAGATCTCTTTTGTGTGTGTTTTGAGGAAATTCAGAAGTTGTGCATTGTATCATCTGAATGCTTGTAGAAGTCTTCCAGTTTAAATGAGAATTTCAAGGAGCTGCAGAACAGTGAAGTTTAGCAGCCTGTAGGCCAGTCCTCCTTTCTCTAGCTGTGCACAGGCTGACTTTTCTCTGCAGCTGTCTCCAGGCTATTAAAACAGGAGCAGGCTAGAACGTTGCCACCATGTGCATTCTACATATCTTCCATATGTCCTCAGCCAGCAGGCATTTATCAACTTGTATAGTTTCTTTTTAAGACTACCTTTTGGCTACAAGATGCCTTTAATCCTGGATTAGCAAAGACTGCAAAAACCTGTTTTGGTGTGTTATATCACCTTCAGTATTTAGTTCTGAAGACCAGAAGTAAAAGGATAGATAGTGCAAAAGATTTTCATATAATGGGTCTTTTGATGAAGTGGTTCTTTTCAGTGTATATCATAAGAAATTTCCTACTATAAATTATTAAAATATTGCTTGAAAGATCTGAAGAATATCTAAATGATCTTCTAAGTATCAACTAAGGAGGGACATCCCAGAAGCAGCTGCTGTGTTGTGTTGATGTGCAGTGTTTGAGAAGAGCACTGTTCTCTCTGTGTTGGCATCATGCATTGAACGTGGCTGCTTTTCTTCCATCTTTTCCTGTACTGCTCTTTCCAGATGGGTGCATTGCTCATTGCATTTTTGTCTGCACAATATTAAAACATGAAGAGTTTTACTTACTTTTTTGTTGGTCTTTGTCCCTCTTAAGGGCAGACAGAAGGTTTGGGAAGGCCATGGAATTCCCTCTTATGTGTTGGGAGGGTATGGGGGGGTGGTGGAATACTAAGACTGTGAGGCAAGGAAGCCCACAAAGTGAATGCCATGAGAAGGATGTGACTGATGTGCTGATTTTTATGAATTTACAAAAGCAAATACATTTCTATGAAAGAAGATTGCATTTGAAGCTATTTTATGATGATGGTTTTTAGGGGCTATCAGGAGTTTGATTGTTTTATCCTAGTTCAAAATGTGAACAACTATAAGTAGTAGCTGTCATATGGGAGGCCTCTAGGCCCTATTATAGTTTCATTAAAAAAACACCTTACCATAAATGTAGTTACCTCTTATCAGCACAGAGATTTTTTTTCTTCTTCTGTATCAGCCATCTGGGAGTGAAACTATAATACAAAGTCCTATAAAGTTTCTTCTAATTTAAACCCAGGAAATTTAGTGCCCATTCCACTGTGGGTGTTGTCACATCTGGACAGAAGGAGAAGGTACATGGGGCTTAATTATTGCTCTATGTGATAACCTGGTTTTGCTACATATTATTGTTCCAGTGTAAGCTGCATGAAGCTTCTTGGGGACAATGGTGTGCCAGGCCACTTATTAGTAGTGCAGTTTGCTTAGAGGAGAATATCTTAATTTTTATATATAGGCACAGCCTTTAGTGAATTGAACTGCATGGGCTCTCAGGTGTTCACATGATTTCAGCTTTTCTTCTGGGTGTGGTCTCCTTGTGGAATGTTTTTTTCACAGATTTTAGTTTCCCTGATTTCTCTCTGGAGCAAAGTAGAAAAAGTCCTAGTTGCTATAAATTAACGTTTACTGTATGGGAACATAAGTGTTTCTTAATTGACAAGACTATGACACTGAAGGATTTTTGAAGATGCGTTAAGGTGCTAGATGTGCTTGAAATCTTTTCTCACAATACAGAGCTAGGAAGAGACTGGAGAAGAGACAAAAAAAAGTCATTCTCAAAATTAGTATGTGTTGCTGTGACAAGTTTGAACTAAAGATGATTTTCTAAAAAGCTTTACCATGCCTGAGTAATCAACAGCCTACAAACTGGCTCTTCAAGCAGAGATCAATAACACCAGCCTTTAGACTTCATGTCTAAACTATGTAAGTGTGTAAAAAGACAGCAAAAATACCTTTTAACAAGTTCTTTTGACATATTGCTGAATATCTGTAATTGTTGTTTACCTTTGAACCTAACAATTTATCATAAAGCTCTGTGAAAAGTACTGCTAATTTTCATGTAGTAATTAATTAAAATATTCTTGTTTTCTGCAGATACCCTGAGATTGACTCGTCTTGCTGGGAAACAGGCTATAAATATTTTCACTGCCACACATGCTATGACAGGGCAGGAAGAAATTTCACATCCAGCTGTGGGTTTTAAATCTCACCTAATTCGTTTAATTGGAAATTTGTGTTACAAAAATAAGAAAAACCAAGACAAGGTAAGATTATACATTTTTCTGGCACAACTCTGATATTTTAACAGATATGTGCACCTAACCCTGACTTTACTGATTAATATATATTGTTGATCTATGAATATAGATTAGAATTGTTCACATAAAGGAGGAAAATTTATTTCTTAGAGTCTTTAACTTACTATAACAGGTATGCTAACTTTTTAATAACAATGTGATGTGTGCCTGTCTACTTTTTACTTCTGTCCTAAAGAATGCAAACCAGTTCCTAATTCCATTATTGTTTTCACATTTGCACTTCCTTTGATAATAAAATATCTGAGTCTAAACCTCAACTTCAATTTGAAGGGAAATTGTTGCATGAATTTTAAATCCTTGAATTATTAGTCTCCAATGCCTTTTCCCTCCTCTTGCTTAAATTTTTCTCATGCCAGTTAAAAAATGTAGGTCTGCTTCTATAAAATCGCTTTGAAACCTTTATCTTAAAAATTTCTGTATGGAAAATTAAATTTGTTTCCACAATGAGGAAGAAGAGGAAACAGCAGCGTCTTTTTAAATAGGAAACTTTTTTTCTTAGAGTAATAAAAGATGTGGCTTTCCTCCAGGACTTCTTAGGCTAACCTAATTTCAGCAAGAAAAACAGTCAAGAAATAATGTTGTCTTACGGTTCACCTTAGCACTTCCAAAAAAAAAAAAAAAAGTTAGTTTCTTGTTGTAGAGAAACCTTCTGTTTATTCCAGTTTCTTCCTTTTCTCTTAGAAGTCTTTCCTTACGGCAGTCTTGACCTGGAAGGAAATCGTCTTGAGGAGCCTTTGTTATTGATATTTGGTTTTGAACAGGGAAATTTAAGATAATTTTTGTTTCTTTATTAATGTGAATCAAAATTTTCGCCTGATCTCAAGGATGCAGTTTATAGGCTGGAAAATTAAGAACATAGAAGAAAGGCTGTATTGAAGAAGGAGTAAAAGAGATAACTATTTTTACTTCTCTCTTATGGTGTCAAATGAGGCCCATGTCAGCAAGTACCAAAATACAGTAATTCATTCTGGTTACTCTGCAATAAGTTGCATACAATCTGTGTTGCTGAGTAGCTATTGAGACATGGAGTACTGTAGAATCAATATCTTTTAGAAGCTTCTGTTTCCTAATTTTTTGTTGTTGTTGTTGATTACGTCATCTTACGAAGACAATAGGTTTTTTTGTACTGATGACATGAAATCTGGTTTCAACTGCTGCCGTGTCTACTAAGCTAGACTTTTATAGTGGCAGCATTTTATAGTGTGTAAGAGGAGCGCTCCCATTTCCTTGTTGGAAATGGAAAATCTGAGGAATGCTACCCTCTTTGTCTGAAAATGCTAATAATATGGGCATATAAATGGGAAATATTTTAATGATCCTCTCTTT